CCCCCCCCCCCCCCCCCCTCAGCCCGTCAAGAAGACGAAACACATCACCCTTTCGACTGAGATCTTTCTATCCTTGTGGCGAGCTACAATATTCGCTTCAGCGAGTATTCGCGCGCGCAGGTGTACGTGATCCGTCGGGCGGCACAACGATATACCAGACTTCCGTTTGTCGCGGGCAGGTACCTTGCTGGAGTCAGTCCGCAAAACTCGTGGTGGGATTTTTCAAACTCGGGTTTAAATTTCTTTACGTCCAGCAAGTTTGTGGGCAAATGGAAAAAACAACGCGTTATTTTACGGACAATGTTATTAACGTTGTCCGTAAAATAACATTGCTTTGCCATTTAATGGCAAAGCAATGAATCCAAAAATTTGCATGTGAGAAAAGAATGAGCAGAGGTTGGACTCACATGGGCGAGACTTGCATGTGGTACACTATGCACGGGCTACGTGAATACGTAAAAGGACAGGCAACAAAAAGGCCCTCTAACAAGAGACACGTGCAGAACGTTATGACAGAAATAGCGACATGGAGTCGAGGCCGATCGAAGAGCGATTCTTGCCGTTTCTGGGATCATCGCCATTGCTGCCATTTACACATGCAGAGTGGCTTCTTTTCTGTAACGAGCAAGGAGTAAATGTGTAAATGGTGTTCATTTCTAGCTCACTCTTTGTTTGTTCATGAGCGATATGGATGTATGCTGCTTTCAATCCATCTCGAGCCATGGGTGCACGAGAAGGAGGAAACTAGGTCTAGAGAAACTCACTGGGAGGCATGGCGATTGTGATAAGTGTAAAGAAGAAATGACCTGCCTTCCCACGACTTGATGAAAACCTTACAAAAAGTTAGACCCGGTTCAAAAGTTCTTGCTGAATGATCAAAATAGAACATGCGAAAGTGCTCCAGTCCAGCAGAACTTGCCAATACTCGACGTCTCGCGTAGAATCGTCATAGCAAATCTGCAGTCTGCGGTGTGATACAGGAAATGAAAGTGAAGAGTGGCGAGAGACACGATTACGTACCTTTACTACATGCAGGTACGTGTGAATCCAATTCTGTGTCGAAAGACCGAGAGATATTGGTGAGAACGTCTTTGACGTTCCCTTGGAGAAAAGCGCAGTACTGTACTGATTGCACATCCACCGATGCCGAGCGAAACGGCACGCCGCGTTTTGCATCTTGATGTGGAGCTTTACACTTCTGTATCAGGACCTTGTCGGAAGAGAATGCTTCCCAACTAATACCGTTTCAATATGACGATCACAAGATAGTCCTGCAATGGTACGGGGGGCTTGATTGGGTTCAGCCAGATATTACCATTTCGCCACTTCGCCAAATTGTCTTTTAGAAATAAGCCCCCGCCACTTCGCCAAATCGCCAAAGCCATGATTTTGGCGCCAGCTGTGTAATACTCGCGACCTAATGCCCACCATCATGCAGTAACGCGCACTTTCACTACTGGTTTCCATGTTTCTTGACGATCGGAAATCGTCGTCTTTGCCGCATGACAAAAGTTGATTCCACAGTGGCGTCATTCGTGTGTTGACGGGTCTTAGCAGGGCACCCCGCAAAGACTAAAGATTTTTGCGCGAACGATTACGAGCAGGCGTCATTTTCTGGATGTGATAAAAAGCGAGTGAGGTCGTGTACGCAGTTACTGCCCCCCACAAAGATGCCTTCTTGAGAACAGGGCTTCTCATCGGATTGGCTGTAGGCTTTGAACAGAGGAAGAGGGGTGGAGAGTTGTAGGCAAGGTTGTGTCGAAAGGACAAGAGGAAGGAGGTGGTGGACGAAATGGAGTTCGGTAGCTTAGACGCTGCTGTACAGTATGCGTGTCATAGCCCTACCAAACGAGCATGAGCTGAGGGCCAAGAAAGCTTCGCATCAAAGCAGTATCGGTGAGGTCCAGGTCCATTTTCAGGGCGCAGCAAGTCGGGGTTTTGCATTGCAGAGAGTCCACTATAGAGCCCAGAGGTTATGACCAATAACAACCCCCATGGTGCCTGCGCACTCTTACGCAGTCTGTTGGATGACGTCTCGTCGAGATGGGTTGATAATTGTGCCGCCCAGAAGTTTTAGTTTTGGGCGTAGGCTGGTCTCGAAGAGAAGGGCCAGGGTAGACTAGGACGCTTCCGGGGCGGCGAGCTGTATTGGGGAGCAAGAGAGGGGTTACGTGGGAGTGGGGAAGACCAGCCGGTTTGAAGACGCAAACGCACTTCGGACTGTCTTGTGGCAGTGTACCATTCCGTAGCTGTGATTCAAGATCATCGCCTGATGGCCACTGGGATCTGTTGCCTGGGCACCCATCCCCTTGGCCTAGTCGGTCACCATGCGATCCACGTAGTGGCACGACATTTCAATTTGTGCTTCGATCGGATAGAAGGGAATCGCCAAAGGATGATCTCCACCCCTCTATCTGGAGTCAAGAGGAAGCACTTGAGGCATAGGCACCTCTCCCTTGCCACATCCGTTCTTCTCTTGAAGAGTACGCACCTTCGATGAGTCGGGCTGACTTCGACGAAGCGATGCGGCAGACCATGGAGGGAGGTTTTCGAGGAATGGAGTGCAGTCTGAAGGCTGGTGAGCGTAGGGCAACGGGAATGATACTTGGAGCGAGATAATTGGAGATCTTTTCTACCAATGGAGGCCGATGAATAGTTCTCTAGAATTGTTGCATTACAGTGCCTCACGTGCAAAAAACTAACAGTGAGTACCCTTCAATCATCTATTTTATGCTGGAGGCAAGAGAATACGCCCTGCTATTGTTTTATTAATAGCACAAGCAACAACAAAATCTGCAAAAATACATCCTGAACATCACAGACTAGCAGAAATTACAGAAATTATACACACTGCGAGTTTAGTTCATGATGATATTGTTGATGAATGTGAAACACGAAGAGGAGTAAATACTGTATATTACAAATTTAGTACTAAAGTAGCTGTACTAGAAGGGTACCCTTCCCAGTGGTGTAAATATGGGCACTTTGTACGCGAATTACTCCCAAATAAAGAAAGTTTGGCCGTATGATGTTCTGACGCAACCAATAAAAAGATAAGCGTCTTGCGAAGCCAGAGGCATGAAAACCAAGAGGAACGACCAGTAAATGGCTGAGAAACGGTTACATCAGTGACTAACTTCCGAAAGGGGAGCTTAAATCGCCCCGGGCAAATTTTGGGCACCTGAGATTTGCAACCGGAAGGCTCGTGTGCACGCCGTTAATGAACGTCTTTTAGAATTGCCCGAGCAACTGGGTGCCCCCGGGCATGTCTGCTCGTCCTCCAGTGCTTTTCAGAGACTTCGGGGAGCTTTGTGGCAATCTACAGCGCGGAGTTCGCCGGAGAGAAGGCGTTCGCAGCTTCCTCGGTGATCGACGCGGAGGCTACAGCCGCCAGTGCAATGCCTGCACGCATCTGCAGCTTGCGGAGTGCCGTCGCACGCCTCTCTTCCGCGCGCAGCTGTTTTGCCTCTGCGACATCTCGGCGCCTCTGCAGAGCGGCAGCTTTGCGGTGATCCTTCGCTGCGGCCTCGGCGATCTTGGCTGCCTCAGCCTCCTTGCGCCGCTTCAGCAGATCGGGTGTTGTGAGCCAGTCTGCGGGCGCCCCACTGCCAAACGCAGGCCTCTTGTGACCATTCTCAGCTCTCGGGATAGGTTTCGGAGCGGAGATACGGTTCATGAGGATATTGTTCACAGTGTTGGTGTTTGCCAGCATAGTTTGAATGCGCTGAATCTTGACGGCACTGGCCACATCCTCGGCCATAAATGCTGCAATCTTAAACTCTGTCTCAGCATCAGGTTGACGTTGCGGTACATCAACTGCGAGACTAACGCCGCTCGAAAATCTTTCATTGCGTGAAGAGCCCGCACCGCTCGAAGGACCAGCAGCTCTCTCAGAGGAGAGGAGCAGCTGCTCCACTGATGTCCTGAACCGATCAGCGAAGTGGCGTTGAAACGGGAACAGGCCGCACGTGAGAAAAGATGAGCGCACGTCCGACTCCGAAATCGCTTGATGAGCGAATACAGCGCACGCCAAGCTGAAATTGACAGACCGCGCGTCTATGAGACATACCTCTGCGAATTTGTCTCGGATGATCCTCAGAGACGTTTTGAACCTCTTATTCACCATCTGATCACATGGCTGGAGGAAGTGCGATGTATTGGCTGGAGACTGGACGATCTCACATCCAACTTCTTCACAAAGCTCCAGCCACTTGTAGCCGTTCCGAGAGCCGTGGCCGTCTAGCGTGAGTAGATAAATGTCATTTACACCAGCGAAATTGCGCACGAAGTTATCCAGATGCTTGATGAAGGCTGGGAGAATAGCCTTTTCCATCGAGCCGTTCTCAGTGACCTTGATAGTGGCGTCGTCCGGCATCCATCCAGGTTTAGTAAACATGTGGCAGTCCGAATCAGCCTCGAGAAACACCTGATCCAGAGGATCCAGCCACTTTTGCATGATCTTCTTCCCAGAAATGATGAAGAACGGAGGGGCCACGAGGCCGTCTGCAGAAACCGCGATGACGGCAGTAATGTGCTGGCCACCGCCGTTCAGCGTGGAGGCGACAAACCCCCCGTGGTGCGTGTTCGAAGGACCAAAGACCTTAATGCGCTCTCCAAAACTGACTGTGACAGACGTCTCATCAGTGTTCCAGATGCGCCGGCCCTCTTGGAGAATACCAGGATGCTTGCGCTCGACGCTCTCAAGAATAGAAAAGAAAGGCTCGACGTGATTGAAGCGCTCTCCCTTTAACTTTACTGCCTCTTTATTCTCCGAGTTCCTGAATGTGAGATCCCGATTGCGCGCACGGAAGGCTCTAATGGAGTCATTGATTGGGTGGTTGTCTGCCCACGTCCTCTCACGGCCGTCGTTCGCGACTTGCGCCATAACCTCACGCAGATGCTTGTAACCGACGGCAAATCCCTTCTTCGCACTAAACTTGAGCCGCTCAACTATCATGCGTTCCTCTTTGGTTGTCAAAACAGTAGGAGATCCAGCTCTCTTCGACGTGTCAAGGTTACACTGCGACGCCAGCTCTTCCCACCTTTCCTCCTTCATCATTTTGTTCAGCATGTAGACAGAGCCCTTGGACAAACCCGTCATGCTCGCAATGACTCTCTGCGTCTTCCCTGCCTTGAGGTGCTCCACCGCATGCTTCTTGGCAATCACACGTTTCTCATGCCCCGTGGCCGCCAACAGTAGGGTGCGCGTCTGCCTGCGCATCGAGGGTGGCATTGAGTCTTGCCTGGAGAGAAGTCTGGATCGAAGAGATTGTTTGGAGAGGCTGCTCGGACTGTAGTGGTAGTCAGTCTCGGATCAAGATCGCCTCTATAGAACCGTGCAAGAGCTTTCAGCAGACCGGACAGCACCTGCAAAAGCGCGCCCGCGCTTCCCCGTCAACGCTTTCCCGCGCGCATGCACTTCGCTTTGCACTCTGACAAAGCGCGCGAAGCGTATTGGTGTTTGCCCAAAATTAACCCTCTGCCCATATTTACACCACTGGGAAGGGTACCTCCTGTGAAACTGCGGGTCACGAAACGCTTTCAAAAGTTTCCGTTTCGTAAGCAATAAAACTTGCTAACAAGGGTCACCTCTATGGAAGTGTTCTTGATCTAGTGCCTATGGGTGCCTAGGGAGCAGGACCGGTTATTTGTTGACTGCGCCAACCAAGCTCGGGCATCAAGAGTGTTGATACAAATGCCATACTTGAATAAACTGCTGGCGGTGACAGTGCAATTATCGTTCTTACCAGTGTAGATCGAGAGATCGTTCCCCTGGACTGGTCGTGAAACGGTTTTGTGGGCTCAAAAATCACTAAACTGAAGTAAAAAGCCGACGCCTTGCTTTTATGCTGCTCCTGGCACGCCCAATTACGAACGCGTGCAACAAAGTCCTATGGTTAACATCCATTCCTACTTTCTCCCTCACATTTAAATCATTGAGGGCAATTTTTTTTAAAGCAAATCTTGCGTCGTGTCCATCATTTATTCCTCGTTTGCAATCTGGTGAACGTTAAACTAACAATAACCATTACATGTTTTCCGCACCAATCTCCAAATATCGCATTCATTCATGACTAAAGTCATGAATGAATGAGATATTTGGAAAAACTACTTCCACCACAAATACGCAAACTTGGCAGTTGCCGGCACATTATCATTCTCCTCGGAATGCTCAA